CACAGCCCGGAAGACCCACACCAGCCATCGTATGCCGGCCGTGAAAGCCTTCGACAATAGACTGCACCACCCTCATCATTTCAGCAAGGCTGTCAGGAAGATGGGTAGAACCTTTAGTAATTTCTGATTGGTCAGCTAAGCTTGGGATATCAGTATTTTCCTCGATTGGCCAAAACAACAGTCAGTCTCCCTAAAGAGGCTGGTGCCCAATTTCCTGGGCATTCTCTGAAGGAGGAGAGTCTCAGGAGAGGAAAAGAAAATAAAGGCAGACAGGCAGAGGGTCTTTCTAACAACATCCCAATGGGATGGTGCCCAGATAGTAATGAACAGGTTTAGCTAGGCAGCCAATCTGAATTCTTTCTGTGTGATTCATGTCTTCTGTTACTTTTCCTACATTCTCCTTTTCCCAAGAAATGCCTTTTCATATCTATAGATTTGGCTTTGTAGGTTGAGTAAAGCATTTCTTGTTAGAACCTTCCCCACGTACAAGACTGCATTGTTACCGAGCTGCTGTTTCTGTTCCAGGACTGGTAAATAGTTAGCTAAGTTCTGTACTTGAGCAGGGAGATCCAAAGTATCCTGCTTGTTAGTTTGCCTAGGACTGGCCTGAAGGAGGAGATCCTTGGCAGAAGGGCGAAGTGCTCCTCATGGACTGGGGACATCAGGAGGGCCAGCCTGACCAGTGACAGGTTCCTTTTTGGGGAGCTCTTGGAAGAAGGCCAGCGAGGTTTTAAATTATCCCCCCAGGCTATAATGTCTCCCATTTGATAGTTCTCTCAGGAGCGTCTATCTACCATGCTTACAATTAAAATGCTTTTTCTCATAGCCATCTGAAAACTGCTTTGGCTTGCTCCAGATTAGCTTTCTGTATTCTCCATGTCAAGATGTGAACCTTTCTCTCTCTCCCTGTTTTACTACTGGTTATTTACGTGGTGGGCAAAGTGGCACTCTTCATTGCCCTGCCTGCCCGATTCTCTGTACAGTTAGATGCACCCTGTTTTCACCTTGTAATCACTGTTGGGTGGAATGAGGAATCCTGGAGCCAGAAACATTTCGCCTTCCAGCATTTCCATGCGGATGTATTCGACAAGGTAAGTCCGACACAGTCTGCGGTCCCAGTCATCAGTAATATGTCCTCCATACATAATTTCACCAAAGAGGTACCGTAAATCATCCCATGGGACCTAGAGAGCAATGGACTGTGATATTAGCAGGTAGAATTTTATTCCTTGGATCATAATACAAGGAATGCAGCTTTTTACTAGAGTATAGCTACAGTATGGCTTCCCCAATCTAGTGACCGCCTGTTGTGTTGAGACTGGAATTCCTAGAATGTACAGTACATTTTTCAAATAGTACTTTTCAGAAAATTAATGGTAATATACAGAATTATTTTATTTCAGGACTGCAGAAATATTTATCTTGGTGACACTATCATTTGAATCAAATAAATGCTTTTTAGAAGCTGTGACTCCAGTTGATGAAATGAGGATGTAAAGTGGGGCTGTGTTATGCAAGGGACTGGAGCCTGAATCCCCATCTCCAGTATTTATTATTTCAGTTTTTATGGCTGCCCACTTGGCATGGGACTCTAGGTATTTAACAGAGGGTAAATAAAATAAAATAAAAAATACAATAAAATTATTAAAAACACATAATTATAGAGGCAACTTCTATTTACAGCAAGAAAAATGGGCTCATGTAACATTCTGGCCTAGTGCCTGGGGAAGAACCAGGTTTTCAAGGCCTTTGTCAATGCCACCAGGCAACTTTTTAAAACTATCTTAAGCACATTTCAGATTTACATTGGTTTTGCTTCCCACCTGATAATGGCAGGATCTCAAAATTTGGCAATGAAGTTGGGGAGGAATTCACAGGTCCACCCCCCCCGAAAAGGGGTTGGGGTCTCACATGCAGCCTTTGGGGTCATGTTGATATCCTTGTAGTAGGAGAAGGTCTTGTAGAACCACTTCTCCCATTCTTACCTATATAATGGCACAGAAATTTTATGGAGTACAACAGGAATTGTACAATGAGATTTTGAGGGAGGTAGTAAAATGATTCTCATTATGCTGACCCACTGTGTTGCAGAAACACAGGAGTTTTACTTTTCAGTTGCTGGAAGTACTGTCCTCATTTAAAACGGTTCCATGTCAAAAAGTGGAGAACTTTTGCCAAAGTCCAGAAGCCCTGACACCCCCATCCCCAAAAAGGAAGCACATTGTCCACAATGATATACTGCCCTGTGCACTGTTTCTTTATTCCTCACAAATCTAGTTAATTAATCAAGCCAATGGGAAAGCAGAGACTGTTAGTTACTACTTTATAATTGCACTAGCATGCAAATGAATAGTCAACATATTTTTACCTTCACATTGGCTTCCAAGTAATTATACAGGACGTTGATGGAAATGGTGAGATCTCCATTGTTAAAAGGGTAAGACCTGTTCCAACCTTGCGCTCCAAATTTCCTCCGTTCTGCTACCACTGCATGGAAGTAGCAGAGGGCAAAGAGAATGCACTTGAACTCAATTTCCTTGGTGCACATTTCCAGGGTATCCTAAAGGGATATGTAAAAAGTAAAGAGGTAATACTTTCGCACAGAATAGTGTGCTATCATTTCTGTTATTATGCTTATTGCTGTAATTCAAGCTAATTGCTTAGAAGCCCCCAGGAGATCTACATCAGATTCCTTCAGCTGTAGCCCAAGGGTTCTTCTACATAGGCATTCCATTGCTTTTTACAGGACACCTACAAGATCCTCTCACTCAAACACTCATTTTATCTCCATCAGAGTGAAGAATGCTTCCTGTTTTCAGAAGAATGGAAGAACAGCATGATTTCTTTAGGTGTATCTGCCTTTAGGGCTACTCATCCATCACTTTAATAGGATTTTAAGTTAGGCACTAATATATTGGGGAGAGGGTACCACCACATCTTCTGTGCTCATTATAGTTTTCTGGGGAGTGCCATATTGTGACCAGTCTTTTTAAACTGTTATTTTAATTCATGTTAAATATCCAGCTATAGTCCTGCATAATTAAAGACAGGAATAGTACTGTAACATTATATTACTATAATTTTAAATTACAAACACAATATTTTCCAGTTACCAATACAAGTCATGTTGCAAAAGTGGTAGTGACCTCATTTAAAATAATAATAATAATGATGATGATGATGATGATGATGATGATGATGCCACAGAACAAACAAAACCCTCCCACAAAAACACCCTTCCCCTGCAAAACCTAGCACTGTAGTATTACAGCAGTCTACCAATCTTTCATTTAAAAAGTAGAAATATACTTTATTGCTAATTAAAATATGGGTTTAAAAATAAATGGTGTCCATCAGCAGGGTGACAGGATCTGTGAGCTAAATTTCAAAGAGCCTCACCCACAGCAGCGAGGTATAAAAGGAATGTTGGAGGATAGATGTAAAATACTTCTCCTACTATGGAAACTCAACTGGGAACCTATAGAAGCAGAGCAATGACAAGGGCATTTTCTGGAGTCATCTAAAGGTCACTATTGGTCTAAGAAAATATCCCTCTCAGGTAAATGCTCAGGGCATTAGGAACACTACCATTCCAATTATTTTCAGAGAATCCAGAGTTAATATAGAATTCTGACAGAGAAAACGTAGCTGTGGAAAATTAAATAGAAATCAGATGGAAGGAAGTAGTAGATCAAAGGGCTGCCAGCAAAACCTAGCTGTGGTTTTCAAGGCTCCAGCCCAGGGCTGTGGTTAGGTGGTACCATTGTTTGCCTTACCCCAGTTCTTTGCCGAACTCTTTAGTTCTTAATGTCTTTAGCATTTTAATTTTATCTTCAGACTGCCTATTACCACCAAAGCCCTTCTTTAAAAATTCATTCAAGATCAGAGTTCTGTTCCCACATAAGCATGCACTTTTTAAATTTCAGTACTTTGGCTAGAAGGAGTCACAGTTCTGATATACAGAATGGGAATGGTTCCTCCAGATCCTATCAGAAGAAAGGAAAGGACTATTTTAGTTCTGACTTGGCCCCAACTATGTTTTTGAGATAATGACAATTCTTCTAAGTCCCCATCCTTGGTGTTGTCTGCCATGTCATCACTGGGCACTTTGTAAAGGTCTAAACATTTACCTAGGCAAACCAGAAAAAAGATAATTTAAACTTGAGAGAAATAAATAGCATATGTGCAGAACACAAAGGCTGTCCTACTCTGCAGAAGCAAGACAGGACTTTAGTAACTATTCTCACCAACACACTGCTGGCAGTCCTCCCAAAATAAGGAAAGGCAATTGTTGTGCCAGTATTTTAGAACTGTGACTTGAGGCTACAAAGGCATAACAAATTGGACAGGTGAGTCTGTTTACCTGTGTAAAGAGGTCGAGGGCTTTGTGTAAGTTGGCATACATGCCAGTTGGAGGCTCATTTGTGATTTTAATGGCATTTTCTAGCAGGCCCTGAGGAATAATGTGAGCGTCTGGAGAAGGAGCAGGTTCAGCACTCATGAATACGCGGTAATCGTTGTGACTCCCAATGCTGTAGCGTTCAACTTTCTTATCCAGCGTGCCCAGCCACTTGGCTACCAGATGTATATTCTGCAAGATTATAAAATTATGTGATTTGGGACTAGGTAGTTTAGCCTCTCTCTTCTCTCTCTTTGGTCTGAGCCCACTCTGGCAATGACTAGACTGCTATTTTAAACTGCCTTGGTCTCCTGTTCCAAGGCTTGGGCCTCCTCTAGTAAGAAATTTTTGAGAAAATGCTCAGCCTCCTACATTATTCTATGAAGTTGTAGTAGGACAATTCATTCTCTGCTGACTCTGCTATGTGTTTAAAGTTGCTTGCACTGAATGCCTATTATCATGCTATATATTATTTATAATTTCTTCTCTATGTGTAATGTGCTAGCCCAGAGCAGAACCTGATGTCTCTTGTATTTAAGGAGTAATACCATTATGTAACTGTGTATCATAACTTGGATCAGCCTCATTACTAAAAAAGCCCCACCTTTTGAGAAGCAGAGGGAAGGGGTGTGCTCACATTATGAACTTAGCAAAGTTCATTCTCTGAAATGGTGGGAGCTTCTGCCCAAAGGCTGCAACAGGGTCCTTTGCATGTAATAGTATGGTTGCCTTGTGACAATCCCTGCCAGCATGCTTTCTACATTTTTGGACAAAGGATATTCAGCAAATATTTGGAGATGTATTTATTGCAGTTTGTTTTTGGATGAGACTGCAGACAGTTTATGCAATCTGTGGTGACTATTCATTGATTAATGGTTTAGTCATGTAGGAAAGGGTATGGAATCAGTGCAGTGCTGACAAATCTAGAAGCTGTAAGCAGGAAATCTATGGGTATTTAATACCTGAAGAATGACCCAATGTCCCTCTACTGCAGCCACATCCAGAGCGTTTTCTGCCACAACCTCTTGTCCTTGTCCCAGGGACACATTATGGATTTTCCCATTGTCTATGGTGAAGCCAAGCTTTTGACCTAGGAGCAACAATACAGTTTAAAAGCTGCACTTGATCATTGCTTATTCTTGTCCTATTTTCCTTGTGCATTGCCCATGCCTGCGTGTGACTATCTCTAAAATTAATAACTTGGTTGTCTGTCTGTGGACTGCACCAGCCAATGTCTTATTGGCTATAGGGAGTATTTATCAGCAAGGCTCTATCAACTTACCTAGGGCTTCAACATCCTTCAGGGGATCAACTCCAGGAGACAGAATGAAAAATATTGGTGTGGATGGACTGCTTTCTTCATAGGACTTTGAGAATTCCACACTGCGCCCTTCAACAAATTTACTTCCCATCTTCTCTTCCACAAAGTTTCTGAGAAAAATCATATTTTTGAAAAGGGAGAGAGAGGAGAGAAGAGGCAGCCGGAATTTACAGATAACATCACTAAAACAAACAGAATCTGGGGAATTATCAACCCAATGATCCAAAAGATCTGATTGCTTATCCCTGCTCTCAGAGAAACAGATTGCATGTAAGCATTTTTTTTTTTTTGCAAATATAAAGCAAATGCATTTTTCATTCAAGCCTTAAAAAAACAATCGGAGTGGGATTTTGTGCTACTAACTTAAATAGCAGAAATATATTATTCAGTTCTTGGAGTGGAGTAGACTAAGGATGAAAAATGGATTTTTTTTCTTTGTATTGTTAAAACCACAGAAGTAACTATAATTATGAGACAAAAAAACCTACCAAAATAATACCCAGTTGAACATTTGCAACTACTTCTATTTGTGCACGTGTTCCTATTCTTACAGAATTATCAGCATTTGATATCAGCTCAAGCTTTCTGGAGTTGTAATAAAAAGAACTCAATCAGGATGTATATATAGATCTGTCTGAAGCCTCGATGCTCATGCCTGTGTGTTCCTATCTGCAAGATGGATACATTTGTTGCTTGCCTTTGAACTTTTGGACTGCACCAGGCCATGTCTTCTTCTTGACTGAACAGCAGGCAAAAGGCCGGAGTAGGCCAAAAAACTCTTAACGCCCAGGTCCTTGGAATAACACACAAAGCTAAACTATGAACTGCTCCATATGACAATGTTCTCCACTCTCCAACTGAAGCAGCCTCAGGTTTCCTACTTTCCAAGCCTGTAGAAGAAAACATGATACGTACTTGACTGCATAGGTCATGCGGTCTGGCCTCATGCATCGCATCATGCACAGCTTCTGTAGGGCTGTCTTATTCTTCCACTCCTTGGGGAAAACTTCCTTTTCAGGAGTCTCTGATTCTACAAACTTTTTCCATCGCTTAGCAGAGCCTTCAATATCGCTGTCCAAGTTTTTGAATTCATCCATTTCAGAAAGTACCTGAGAATACAGCAATGGCAGATGCAGTGCTCTATATTCCTTGCCCACGAACGGCTAGTTAGACCACTCAGTTCTATCACTCTTCATCAATGTGCTACCTTCTAGACGTGTTGCAACCAAAAGAAATAAAGCATCCCAAATATTAGTAAAACATTAAAGGGTATGGTGAATTGCTTTGCATATTGTAATAGCAGTGATGGCAGACTAATCATGTGACCTCTGTTGAGAGAGAAACTCAGCCAAGCATGGTCCTGCCAGGAAAGTCCTGATTTGTCTTGCTGACCACTTTCTTCTTCAGAGGGTGGAAGGGGGGTACAAAAGGATCAACTGTCCTTGCCTTGATTCTCGGCAAGAGGGACAACATAATTGAGGAAATGGAAGTAGCAGGAACACCAGGAAGAAGTCACCATGTGATGCTAAAGTTCTTGATTCTAAGGGAATCTGCAGGCAGCCAAAGGCATATCGTAGATCTTAAAAAAGTTCTGGTAAGGGGCAACATTCATCTTCAGAGGTACAAAATTAGTAAGGCAGAAAGTATGGTTTCTTTGCCTTTGTCCATTTAGGGCATTGTCACTGGCACTTTAATATATAATATCTTCAAAAGACAGTTCTGATAAATAATTTGCTCCTTGTAAATGAAAAACCATCCAGGGTAACCTGCAGTTCCCAGACATGGAAGAGTGTTTATACTTAGAGAAACAATTTACCACAAGCCTACATTAATGAGTATGATGTGGTTATCCAAGTACAACAGCTTTTCCATTGTGGTGGTCCTTAACAGGACCTAGCCATTGCTCTGGGATTAAAAGAGCCTGTGGTCCTAATGATAGCCTTGGCAATCTAATGTACGGTATTTGCCACTATGGAAAACAGCATGATCAGGGTCTGGATGTGAGCCAAGTTCAATGATATCAAACAGGACAAACTGATTTTGCCAAGCTGTGCCATAATTCTATAACATTAATGATGAAAAGGCCCATCTACTTCTTGGACTTGCCTGGACAGGTTTGAATAGTTTGGATTGAGGCAAATTTAGGGTTAGAATTTATTCAGAGCTAATTCATACCTGTCCAGCTACACACGGTAACAAACTGGTTTCAAACTACATTTGAAATCTACATTTGCACCCCTATACCATGTCTGCCCTTTGCATATCTTACTCCATATCCTTGCTGTCCTGCAGCTCATATCTCACCTGTTTTTAAGAAGTAAGTATAAACAGGGCCTACCAAAACTGTGCACTGGCTAGTACCCGACACCATGACTGAAGCAAATCTTGCAGAAACAAGTTCATATTTATCATGGACTCTGCTACAGTTATGAAGCCCACCATTTTGCCATGGCTCCTTCTGAGTTACTAAGAAGAGATTATAGTGTTTTTTGAGCAAACCTTAATTCCACCCCATCCTTGACCTAATAAGAAATCTACTGGAGATGTCAAACCAGCTTTAAAGGGAAAGCGCAGAAGGAAGTCCAGTTCCACTGGATTCACCTCTTTTTTTACCAACAAGACCTAGGGAAGATAAGAAAATTAGGAATGTTACAAATGATATACCTTATTTTAAACAAACAAACAAATAACAGCTGCTGTGGCTACAATACCAAGTTCCAATTTACTGATTTCCAGAGATGGTGAACCTACAGGCAAGGAGATAACCCTCACCCAGAGGGGGCTAGCTTGAGAATCCTGGGGAAGGTGAGCAAACGTAGGTCTTTGTACAGTGCATTTCCCTAGAATTGGATGCATCCAGAGTACTGAAGATAGCTTATAGGACAAATATCTGCTTGGGCTTTCAGTGAGAAAGGGGGCCACAATGATGCTAATAGCCATGCCAATGTTGACCTTACTTCCCTAGAACATATTACTCAATGAGCTTTTCTTAATCGCAACTCTGAAAATCTGCAGCCAGAATGATCAATAGGGAGATTGGTTGGGAATTTTAGAAGTTGTCATCCAACAAATCTAGGGAACACCTGGCTGGATAAGCATTTTTTATTGTTTAGAATTATTTCCACTCTGCCTTCTGCTGTAACCTTTCATGGCTAAGTGCCTTCCAATTCCAGTTGCCTCATTTATGAAGAGCAATCCTGCATGAACTTTCTTAAGAATTTTTTCCCCAACTTGTTTTACAACAACACTATTCTGCTTGTGCATTCTCTGTTACAGGGTGATCCTTGCTCTCTTGAGGACCTTTACTCTCATTTGCAAAATATTCTGTGGCCTGGGTCACACATCACATCACACTATCATGTGGCTTAACTGTGGTTAAGGAGCTGTGTAAATCCAACCACTGTGGTTGATGGTTTTACATGCTGTGTGAACACAGACAGTTGTAGTTTACTGAATAAACCATGGCAAGTAAAAAACGTGTCAACTCAGTCTCTAATACTACACAGAGCCTGTAGCCAGCTATAGTTTTGATATAATAGCAAATTTTCTACACAATTATATCCTTTTTATCAAGCAGGAGAGAAATACTGACTGACTTTTTTGTTATGACCATCATCCGGTCACTTTACCTGAAAGGCAACTTGGGCTAAAAAAATAAGTTTGTCTCTCTCAAAAAGTCCCCGAGCTGTGTACATGAAAACGGAATAGGTGATCTCATCTGTAAGGTTGATCACCCTGTGTTTCACATCTTCCGCTGGTGCTGTACGCTGAATAGCTTTCTCAAACACCACGTTGAAAGCCTGAACAGAAAAAAGAAGAAGAAGAAAAGAAGAAGCCAAAAGGCAAAACTGTGGGGTTTCAGGCAGATGCCCTACTTTGCATTCTGGAAAAGACAGAAACACAAGAAAGGTGTCATCCTCAAAACCATGAGGTGATTCCATAGTTGGGTATTGGCAAAATAAAAGACCCAAGATTTGGCTGTCTGGCAGATTTTTCTGTTGGACCTGATGAGCTATTTTTCTTTAAGCTTGGCCCTCAGTCATTCTTCCTTATAATGGGCAAAGCGTCCCAATGGGCGGCTGTAAGGTTATCTGCAAAAAAGGCTGAGGGTGTCTTGGACTTCATAAGAACAGAGAAAGCTTATCTTCTACAAAAAATATAATCAATCACTATCCAAATAAATGTTCCACTATTAGTTACCTTCAGAGAGAACTGATAGATCGGGTTGATTTTGTTTAGGTCATTTAATATAAAATACAACAGAGATGCCCTTTCTGCTGCTGGCCTGTAGTTCTCTCTGGCTTCATTAATTCGTATTTCAGTAATTTTAGCTTCTATCACCTAAAAAAATAAGAAAAAAAACTTTTTTTAAAGAATAAAAAATAAGCAGTCTTCAATGTGTGATATCTAATCATGCTTTAGAGAACTACAATGTTTTCTACAGTACTTCACTTTCACTGCTGGGTTGGTAAGTCACGTATTTATGAAAGACACATTTCTCAGCACTGTTGTTGAGGCCATGACAGCATAGTCAAGTTGAATCAGTTAACTTACTTTTTGTTCTATCTCATTAGCTGTGCGTTTCGTGGTCTCGAGGTTTTCCACCAAGGCTGTATCTCCTAGGAAGTTTCCTGAGGCAGCAGAGAGTCTAGCTAGTAAGGAGTCCTCTAATTCCTTCAGGATGATCTTAAATTCATTCTGTTGTTTTGTGAGAGTAGCCTACAACAGAAACAGAGTGGGGAAAAAGAACTTTTGTTATTTATCAGCAAATCTCCTTTCTTCCTACTCCAAAGCTAGACAATTTTCAACATGGGGCTGCAGGTTCCTGTCTCAGATGAGGCAACTGAGTAAAATGGGATATGAATTCTTGGATTTTTCCATTAACACTTCATACATTTTAAATACATATGTATCTACTGTACTAGATGTGAAGGCTACATACCAGTGCTATTCCCCTTCATCATACACTTGGGTTGTTGCAGTCCTGAGATCTACTAAACAAGTATCTTAAGGAAGAAGACAAACTGAATACTTGTTCTAGACTCACTGTTTAGACTACCTTTTTTTCCACTTGGTACTTTCCAAGTATGCTGGACTTGGATAATCTCTGTCCATGCTGGCTGAGGTTTAATGAGATGGGCCAAAACATCTGAATACCATCAAGATGGGAAGGCTGGCTTAGAATATTTGGTTTTCTTTGGAATTACTAAGATGACTATCGCTTGGTCCATAACGCAGAAGTTCACAACTAGTAATGATAATACCTTCAGTTCCTCTAAGTCAGGTCTTTCCTTAGCAACCACAGCAGCTAAAAGCTGGTCTTCCAAGCCATCCCTGGTAACCAAAAAGTTGATCAATGTGCATTGAGCCTGCATCTCTGGCTTGTAGTGGGGATTGAAGTACTTGGTGTGCAGAATCAGGCGAAATTTGGGGTGGTACTCCACTTCCTTATCTCCTATTTTAATGTATCTAGGAATAAGAGTTTTGAAATATATGAAAACATTGCATAAATTAATGTAATCTACCTTTGCTCATGTTCACTATTGATGAACAGAACTACTATCCCTATCCTCACCATCTTTTTTTATTTTAGCTCAGACTCAGGGATAGAAAATCAATCCTTTTTGTCTAGAATAAATGGTTCAATATATAGGGAACTGCATATCAGGTCAGATCATCAATTCATTTAGATTAAGATTGTCTATGTAGACTGGGGGCCATTGCCAAATGCTGAGCTAGTGTTATTGGCCTATGCTTCAGTTGGCAGAAAACGATGCAGTTTTCTACTGTTGCTTCTTTCTCCATTGTCAACCTTGATCCTGCATCAGCTGCTGCTGTTCTGGCTTCTTGCCAAATGGTGGTATCCTGATTCTAGCCATTCAGGTACAAAACCGTTGGTAAAGCTGCCTGGCTTTTACTGTCTTCCTGCTTTTTGGACACCACCAGCCACCAGGCAATCATCTGCCAGTCAGTGATGCAGTGATGGGGCTTGGAGAAATGGCAGATTTTGACTGGAGTCTGACTTGCCTCTCACTGCTTAACATTGTGCCAAAGCACCTGTCAGAACCAGGGAAGTTGCATGGTAAAGCAGAATTGGCATTTGCAGAAATCAACAGCCACAGCTCAGATTGCCGAACAGGTGATCAGCAAACTGTGTGGTAAAGCAAGAAGTTTGTGCTGGTCAGATTTGAGACAGAGGCCTTTCCCTCTTTGTTATCCGGCTCCCCCAGGTCCCCAGTCAGCTTTTCTGTGGCTTCTAGGGGGCCGCAGGGCAATATGGCGGTGGCTGCTGAGGCCAGTTCTTTCTACTTGGAGGGAAAAAAGATGGCAGCACAAGACAGTGCCCAGAGCCCAAGGGGAGGAGGTGTGCCCTTCCAACTGGCCAGTAGATGTAGGCTGTTTCCTAACTGCACTGCCAGCAGAACGGTTAGCAAAATGCATCAGATTAAATGGAAAACACTATTAGAACTGGCACAGTTTAGGATCACCTAAGGTTGCCTTATGGTCTAAGGATGAGATGAAGGCACTGTCATGAGGCCATGGCAAAATAGTTTACTGTGGTTAGGTGCCAATAGGTAAGGGCATTAAGTCTGCTTGTCCTGGTTTCAGCAATGAAGCTCTCCCTGTCCTATCTGGAGATGCTGCAGGTGGAACCTGGGGCTTTCAGCATGCAAAGCAGATGCTCTGCACTGAGCTGTTATAGAGAGCCCGTGCTCCATATCTGCTCATCTTATGCAACACATCTGGAAAAAAGATATTAATTAGGTAAGGTCGATATTAATGAGGGACACTGTGAAGTTGGTGGCTGGCAGTTGAGATGAAAACTAGTAGAATTAGTTTAGAACGGTTAAATTTGCAAAGTCAGCCTCACAAGAGCCACAGATCCCAATATCCTTTTGGATAGATTCAGAGTCATGAATGTAAGCAGCACATTTTAAGAATATTTACTATCATTGTTTTTTTCTCTTTGATTTTCATCATAGTACTTGAATTACAGATATTTTGGAGCATTTATCTTGTGTAGTTTGAAACATGTATGGGGTGGAAGTAGTTCTATTCTCCTGTCCCCAAATGGCACTCCCTGATTCCATACAAATCTTCTGTGCTGGAAAGAAATTTGGTGAATTTCAGTTAAAGTGCTTTGTATGCAGAAAGACCTAAAATGCATTGAAAGCTGCTTTGCAGCTCGTTGCTTTGCAATGACCCACAGGATATTTGCTTTCTGCTCCTCTTGTGACATATCTGAGACATCTTTTATTGTGTTTCTTAATGAAAGGAGACCAGCTGGACAGGTCTGGTGACAGCAGCCCTAAACTTTGTGCCTGCAAATGCAGATGTGGGCAAAAGCCAGAAAAGTATGTGCAGGCCCAGGCTTGCCGTTCTGAACCAGTCTGAAAGAAAAGGGCACGAGCCTGTCATTTCTGAAATGCTTGCTGGTGTCATAAATCCACTCACGGACAACCTGAGACACTTTTCTGCTTAAGGCAAAGGGCTACGTGATGTGCCCTCCTGATCAAAAAGAGGGCAGAAGCTGACTCAACTGGCAGTGGGATCTGACATCCAGATAAGCAATGGCCTACGATCAACCCCCAGACCTGAAGACAATGGGCTAATCGGGCAGATCATGCAGTTCACACATTTTTGTGATGTGAAGAATAAATCAACATTGCAGAAGTTTTAAATAACCACAACCCTCTGCTGGTGTTACTGCTCAGCAAGGACCCAGGCTGCTTCCGGACACGTGTCTCTTAGACCCTGTTCCCATTTGCATTTATCGCAGGACCATCATTCTCTGAGAATCCCAGTTTCCCCTTTGATTGTCATTATGACCCCAGACTGTGAATGAAATTATCTAAGGTAATTATAATTAGCAAGCGTACTGGAATAAAAATAGCCTTTCCCCCTTTATCCCTGTACAGGTAAGTCCTTGTTTAACAATTGCAATGGTCTGGTGACTCGGTCATTAAGTGAAACGGTTGCTAAGTGAAAAGTCACATGACCATAACTGTGCTTACAATTTTACTTCAGCTTTCTTTTGCTTTACAGCGTCAGAAGGATATGACTGCAAAGAGCCAGGTGGGGGAGGTTTCCAGAACTCAACTGAGGAGGAAGCCGAGTAAAAGGGCAAATCTTATAGCCCTTCTTCCCCCTCCCCCACCCTTCAGAACGCTCACCGGAGTGCTGTGATCATTAGCAAGAAAACAACTGATGTTTGCATTTACATTCATTGGAAGGGAAAGGATTACGAGAGAGTAAGCAGGCACACAATGGGGAATGCACGTTGAAAGGAATGCACTAGCACCAGCTGTTTGTCTAGCCGGCTTATGGCTGCGAGCCAGGAGCCACTTAGAAGGCAAAGAAGCCTTCGGTGTGAAATTGATTAGGGCCGTGACAGTGTCAGGCAGCACCACCAGAGGAGTCTAATCAACTAATTAAGGTTACAGAGCTGAGCTTGTTAACTTGCCGTTTGCACTTGTTAGGGACGCCCTGTGCTGTGGAGAAAAGCAACTCAGGAAGAGATCACTTGTTTAGGCAATCTCTCTGCTCTGAGAGGACGGGAAAAAGAAAAAATGGGTCAGGCACAGGACAACGCATGCTAAGTGACTCTAATGGTGGACAGTGACTGAGAGGGACACTGCAAAGGTTGTAAATGCGGGCACTGGTCACAAAGTTACTTTTTCATCACTGTCGTAACTGTGAACAGTCACTGTCTGAGGCAGTCACTAAATGAGGGCTACCTGTCATACTTTGTCACCCATTATCTTAGAGGTTTGGTGAGGTGACTTTTCTTCTGGTCACAGCAGTTTCACTCCCCGTGTTTATCTTCTTGGTTAGCATTTGTTTTCTGAGTTTCTTTCTCACCTATCTCTCTGCTTCTGACCCCAGCTATCTCTAGGCTTCCAACAAGGTGGAGGAGAACAGGCTTCCTCACTTTATTTGGGGAAGACAAGCAGTTCTGTATTAACAATACTCTGATGCCATTTCTGAGTACTGTTAATAGAAAAATGCACACAGGTGCCTGTTCTCCTTCCCCAAATAAAGTAGCAGAGGTCTGCTTTCCTCTTCTCCACCAAATGGTTGGAGATAAGAATGCAATGGCTCTGACTCTTCAGCAACTCCTGACCTACTGATCAAAAGGGAGTTGTATACTGTGAGTAGAAAGTTAAGGATTTATGCTGTGTCCTTCTTTCTCTGTTATCCTGCCTGCTCTTTGTTTTAAGAGATTGCTAATCTGAGGTCACCTCCTTCTGCCTTTCTTCCAAGGTGCACCTGCACAGAACACATATTCTTGGACTCTCCTGGTAGGATGCAGTTAGCTATGTGCTAGGCTTTGCCTATCCCTATAATTTACTTAACGGTAAATAAATCGTCTGTTATATGTTTCACTAATCCTTGCTTGAATCAAATTCCCACTCTCAGGACCACTAACGTATACACACAGAATGGTTCAACTTCCAGCACAACCTGGGTTGCAAAGGTCAGACTACAATGATACTCTTTCTTTTATAACTTCTATTATAAAATCAAGGTTGTGGCTGTTGTGGCTGCAAATGCACTTACTTTCCTTTCTTGATTGTGTTTCGACCTAGCAGAGGATCCAGCACAGGTTCTACTGTCTCTCCGATGTTCTCAATAAGCAGCGTATCTCCATCAGAAACTGCTTTTTCAATGATATCTAGGTAGCTGCACAATTGATAATAAATCTTTAAGTGTGTCACACAGTCTCTGAGAATATGAACACGTTTCTTATATCCTACTGAAAAGGAAGTTAAATGTATTTTCATAATCATTTGCAACACAGAAGCTTGCTGAGGAAGGGGACTCTATCAGGGCCACAGAAATAGCTGCCAGAGCAGGTGGGAAAAGATGATGTGAGTGGATTGGGGGGGGGGGGTTCAGGTGGGTAGGAAGACAATAGAGGACATGGAGAAAAGGGTTTCTCATGCCATTTTAATTAAAA